ACAAGAAATTATTATCACAAGCTGGTAAAGAAATTTTGTTTAAAAGTGTGGCTCAAGCAATGCCGACCTTTTCAATGTGTATTTTTTTGCTACCCATATCTGTTTGTAAGCGAGCTATGAATCGGTACTAGTGGGGAACAGGTACTGACGGAGGCATTCACTGGAAAGCTTGGGATAAGTTATGTATCCCAAAAAAACATAGTGGCCTGGGATTCAAAGATTTGAGAGCATTCAATTTGGCAATGTTAGGAAAGCAGGCGTGGAGATTGCTCACTAACACTGACTCATTGGTGGCTCGGGTTTATAAGGCCAAGTATTATCCTAAGGATACCTTCTTGGAGGCAAATATAGGAAATAATCCAAGTTTTTGTTGGCCCATTATTATGGCGGCTAAAGATCTAATATGCGGTGGTATAAGGAGACGAATTGGGGACGGGAAATCTACCTTAATATGGGAACATCCCTGGCTGCAAGATGAACTGGATCCTATGGTTCACACGCAAATGCCACAACATCTATCTGGAGCCAAAGTGGTGGGATTAATTGACCAGGATACGGGTACTTGGGATCCGCATATACTAGCTGATATTTTTCAACCAAGTGATATACCTAGAATCCAAAGGATACTAGTTGCCCCTGAGTATGATGATATATGGTATTGGTATGAAGATCCTAATGGATGTTATTTGGTCAAGAATGGGTACAGGCGTATAGTTGGTAATTATGAGAATAATTCTAATGGAGCATTTGATGAATGGCTTGCCCTATGGAAGTTAAAAATCCCACCCAAATGGAAGACATTCATATGAAGAGCTATTTGTGATATCCTTCCTACTACCAACAATTTGCTTATAAAGAGAGTGAATGTTAATCTGATGTGTGCCATGTGTGGAATGATCAATGAGGACACCATGCATGCATTAGTTTGTGTGACTATGCAAACTCCATATGGACTCAATCCAACCTTCCACTCTCCAATATTAACACAAATGTTGTCCATGAATGGTTTAGTGCAATCTTGAATGTTCTAGACTTTAATGTAATTGTTTATGCAGCTGCAATATTATACCATCTATGGAGAGCCCGAAACGGAGCGGTCTGGGATGCCTGTCTACCAAGACCAACGAAATTACTTGTGACTGCAGCTGCTACTGTGAGGGCATGGGAAGCCGTCCATCACCGTACCCCAACACGGCAGGCTGCACGCCAAACTACTCCGACCTCCGAAGCTGCCGCGGCTGCCCCTATTGTCGGAAACATTCTGCCAACCGACGCTGCTGTTATGCAGGTCGCCGGGCGTCCGCCGTCTCCACTACGCAGCCACCCTGCTCTCCCACGTGGTACGATGACAAGGCCAAGGAAATGTTACATAGATTCCAGTTACCATCACGGAACAAATGCGGCTATAGTCGGTGCAGTTCTTCTCGACGCCGACGACCGTTATGTGTCAGCTTTCAGTGCCCCCCTAATAGGTTGCTTCTCCCCACTCATGGCCGAGGCATTTGCATGCAAGGAAGCCTTATCCTGGCTTAGAAGGCGGGATGAATAGTTTATACAAATTCACACGGGCTGGCAGTTGCTACAGAGTTATCTGTCTAGACCACCTACCACATCACATTCATACCTAGGTTATGCTATTGATAGTTGCAGAACTTACATATCTGCTTTCACTTTCTGCTCAATTATTTTTATTCCTAGATTACAGAATTTATTAGCTCATTCCCTAGGTACTACAGCTTTTGATTTCGCTACGGCTATGTACTGGGACAATGTCCCACCAAACTCTATTTCAGCTTATCTATAAATACAACCGCCAGGTTGACCTTCAAAAAAAAAAAAAAAAAAGTAATGGTTTATTTAGTATAAATTTTTTGAGCTATTTCATATTTTTCTATTCTCCAACAACAACAACAACAACAACAAAAAAGTGGCCATAGACTCTAAAAGTTGAGATTAAAGGAAAAAATAAGAGCTCGTTACTAACCTAAACCGTTTTCTATTTTCTATTTTATAATTTTTCAGTTTTCATTTTCTATTTTCCATTCCCTGTTTTCTATTTAGAAAACTTGTTTACTAACACTTATTTTTTTTTAGATTAACGCTATAAAATTAACACAAGTTTAATTTCGAGTGATTTTTAGACCTTATATTTTAAAATATATTTGGTTTAAATAGAATAAATATAGTTTTTACCAATATATGTAAGCTTTTTTTTTTTTTTTTGAAAATATATATGTAAGCTTTTTAATTAGTCTAGAATATGGAAAACTATTTTCCTTTTTAATTAGTCTAGAAAATGAGTCTAGAAAATGAAACCAACTTAAATACAACCAATTGTTATATGATGTATGCATGCTTACATATCCCGGTCTAGCCTCTATGGTTCATGTTCAGTTGAGTTACCATGATTTATATCCTCCCAAATGCTCTGTTAGGTCGGGGTGTAGGGGCGCTTAGGGTTGGGGTTCAGCCTTTTAGAAGAATGTATGCATGCTTACAATTGAGGTATAAATGTATAATTAATAATTTGTACTTTTTATTTATGATAGAGTAAATACCCAAAATGGTCCCTCGACTATAGCTAAATTCACAATTTGGTCCTCGACTTTTAATTTCAACCAATTAAGTTCTTAACTTTGTAATTTTAACACAATTTGGTCCTCTATCTATTTAACCGTTTGTTGACTGTGATTTTTGAGGATATATATGTAATTTCATGGTCCATCGTCGGGTTTTTAAGGTTCCGATTGCATTTTCAAACCGCACTATTACATTCGAATCCACTGCCGAAAGTGATCTACCAAATCCGGTCGCCTTTTTTCATCCTCCCTTTGGATTCAATGTAGTTGAGTTCGTACCAGAGCGAAGAAGACGATGTGTTTCTGAACCGGTGCAACGTCATCCTGGAGGCCTCCACGTGCTCCGACGAGAGCTGAAAGTTCTTCTGGAGATCGTCGATCACGGTCAAATAGATAGAGGATCAAATCGTGTCAAAATTGTAAAGTTAAGGACTTAATTAGTTAAAATTGAAAGTAAATGATCAATTTGTGAATTTAGCTATAGCCGAGGGACCATTTTAAGTATTTACTCTTTATGATATTAAAGGTCTCTTTGGTTCAGAATCTATTTATTATGCATTTGGCATCTTAATATCATGTTTCCAAGCATAGTATCTAGGAGACAAACGAAGCAACCTCGGGATCGTGTAAATATCAGCATATATAGCACATTATAAGCGATCCAAAATATGAATAGGGAAAGAATTTTTATTATCCAAATTAAGATTATTTTTTTCACATTATTTGCATGCTTTATAATTTGAAGAAATGTGATTAAAGACTTTCTTTTTAGTTAATGAAGAAAGAAAAGCACCCAAGTAACCACTACTTCCTCCATAAGCATTGCCTCATCGCCTAAAGCCCATAATCTTGTCGATAAACCTCTTTAGCAAGAAAATCACTGCCTTGTCCGAATGGGCAAATTATGCAGTGCATCCGTATGCACCAGCATGGTGCATACGGATGCAAAAACGACGTCGTTTTATTAAAAACGCGCGTCTCTCCTTAAAAAAAAAAAAAAAAAATCAGGTTCGATTCCCAACAACAACATATGAACTAAAATTCCAGAATCGATGAACTATAATTCCAGAATCGATGAACTATAATTCTAGAATCTAATCTATGAACTAAAAATTTCAGAATGAATGAACTAAAATTCCATAATCTATGAACTAAAATTTCAGAATCGATGAACTACAATTCCAAAATCGATGAACTATAATTCCAGAATCAATGAACTAAAATTTCATAATCTATGAACTAAAATTCCAGAATAAATGAACAACATAATGTTGTTGCTGGAATCGAACCTGAATTTTTTTTTTTAAGGGGAGACGCGCGTTTTTAATAAAACGACGTCGTTTTTGCATCCGTATGCACCATGCATGGTGCATACAGATGCACAGCATAACTATCCGTCCGAATGGGTAGTTCGGTCACAGATGTAAAATTTATCACAAGAAACCAATAATCAAATCCCACCAGAGACCGATTTCACATTTTTCTTACTAAAAAATCAATGTCTTGTGTCGTTCTCTTCTTAAATCTTAAAATACATGCCTTACAAGTTACATGGACAACTCATTGGTATTCAAGTTACATTCCACCAAATTGCACGGCGATCCTTGCATTTTTTTGGCATTTCACTTGTAGTCAATCAACTCACACCCAAGTCAGAGGCATACTCTAACATTACTTTCCCGAAATTCTCTATCCTAAGCAATCTTCATACCTTTGAGAACCGCCCATAACTTAGTTTCCACTATACTATAGAAGTCAATAAGATACATGGACTCCACCAACCAATATCTCATTGCATCACGAATTAGGCCTCCCCTCCGATGAATTAATTAGTGTTTACCAATCGCTCCATCAGAATTAAACTTGAGGCTTCTCCCACGTGGTCACATATATGCTGAGGTAACCGTGTATAATCAAGAAAGCAGATTGGTGGCAACCATGGCGAGTCACTTATCCAAATGATCAGGACTCCAGTTGTCAAAACTACTAACAAAATAAATAAATAAAATATCATCAATACTACCTTGTAATAGAGTCGCATTCAAAAAAAAAATATCAATCATGTGCAAACTAAACCGAATGACAACCAAGTTCACATTTTCAATAACCCACCATTTTGATCATGGGCACCTTAATCAAGCATGATCCTTTTATAGAGCTAAGAGTTTATCAGAAGTAATCATTAATCACTTCCAAGCTGTCTTCAACTTCCTAAACAAACAAACAAAAATTACAAAGCCCTAGAGAGCATATTGGTGGAAACCATGGTGGATTGGTGGGTCACTTGTCCAAATTATTAGTTGTCAAAACAATGAAGAAACCATCACCATGTGCAGACTAAACTAGATAACGACTCATTTTGATGTGTGCAATTTGAAGTTCATATTTTGACGACCCATTTTGATCATGTGGAACACAAACTAGCAGAGTAGCATGATCCCTTTATAGAGTTAAGAGTTTATCAAAGTAGTCATTAATCATTTCTTCCAACCTGTCTTTTAACTTCCTAAAACAAGCAAACAAAAATTACAAAACCCTTATAAAAATGTGGCTAAAAATGCAGGGCCCTATTGAAAAGCCAGGCAATAAGATTACACAGTACACAACAAAATTTGTTATCAGAAAACTAATTCCCTCCATCCTCCAAAGTTAGACCGGATATCTCCTTTTTAGCACAATTTTTTTTTCACTTCTAGTGGGTACTTCGATTGAACTAGAAACGAGTATGAAAACTGACGAGGCAAATTTTACTTTGGGCCAAGAAAAGCCAGACTACCCTGCCAAATCTGCCATGATTCCCACTCCCCTCTGCTATAAATCCTGCTTCACTAATTAGGCAGTTTTCACCTTTCGGGAGGGTGGTCGGCGAAATATACTGATGAGATCATCAAGACCCTGTCAAGCATTATCATTGAAATTGTTAGATATTTTCCGGTCTCCATTTGAAACATAATATAAAATTTAATACTAGTGAAGTACTGAAGTCTAGCATCAAATTGTTAGAATCTAAAAAGTAGAAAAATCTTTCTAGAACTCAGAAAGCATACCCTGGTTGTGATTACTAGAAAACAGAAAAGGGTAATCAAGTATGATCCTAGCGCTAATAGCAAAAGCAAGTCGAATGTCACGCTGGCAACCTGCAAAGATCCATAACATTATCCAGCAGTTATGAAAATAAAGACAACGAAATAAATAGCAGGCATTCCCTCCGAGGACATTTGCAATAGACTAAGGATTGAACCTAAGACATGTTTTAGTGAGATACTGCATTTTTTATGATTAAAAATAGAAACCTGATATATATGCAATTTGCTACTTGTTGAGTCGTAAAAGGTGAACATTCCATCAAGCACCTCATGCTGTACACTGACATCAGCAGTATGATCAGCTAATTCCTGCCAGCAAATAAAAAGTGTGCACTTGGTTAGGCCTAGTACATACATGTAGATACTGAAGGGTGGGAATTTGGTATCTCTATTCATATAAAAATTGGCTGGTTAGCTAATCATGTATTAAGGTCAGCAACAGATGAATTTGAGCAACAGGATATTATATCTTGAAGAAATGCAAGAATATTTTCTGAAGGAATGACTAGACTTATTTTCCCACCATAACAACATTTGACATCCACAGCACTCATTGTACCAATGATGTTAATTCCAAAACCATACAAAATGCATAAGGCTCCTGCACCGTGGGTCCTAGGCAGGTTCAAATATACTGATTTATAGAGTTGTCCACTGAATGGAGCAAAGTGCATGGTTAAAAATACATAGAACCACTCTTTGGAAAACTTCACCCTAAAAATAACATGTAGCGTAAAGCAACATATAGGAATATCACATCCATTATTATAATGAAAATTGTCTAAGATACAACGTTTTCTAATATTACCTTTTTTAATGCCATGATAAGTGGATCATTTTTTGAGAGGAATGGTGCCACTCGAGGTGTTGTTGATAGCAGATCCATCCAAGAACGTATATAAAAGGGATTGATAGCTAAGCTACTACCATCTGCAAATATGTTAATGTTCTTCCCCTCATGGCCGTAGATGTGCTTCTGTGGATAAAGAAATTTTGTTAGAAAAATTAAAAACATCTTTTAGAATATTACTTCAAAGAGTTGCAGTCATGACAAATTCAAGTGGTGGTTCATTATAGAAGTGTCCAATATTCTAAAATGCTAAAACCCAAACCATAAATACTCATTATTCAACACAAAATGGAGTTTGGAAAAAATGCAGAAGTCACAGATTTCACCAAACACTAACTCAAATGATCGACCTCTTGCACCTCTGTAAACAGTTTGCAAAGACAATTATAATATTAAAAAAAAATGCAAATTACATATTAAATTTATATTTGAACAACAAAGTTCAGCCAATCCTGTATAGAAGAGTGGTTCTCCCCATAATGTTAGTAATTGGGTGAAAAATATTTATATAGCAACAACTTTGTGAACTTTGTGCAAATTAGATGGTGTTGTTTAAAGAATGGTCCCAAGGGGCAAATGAATAACAAAGAATTGAAATATAAGAAAACTGATTACTCTAAGACCAGAAAGCAGATAAGGGATTGTCACTTTGTTTTAAAAGAATAGAATGCATTATATATGTGTTATACTCTTGAAAACTATCAAGCTTCATTTATTCATTTTACATAATACAGAGTACTATGAAAAGAATCAAGTCTAGGACTGAGGTGAAGATGCATAATGTGAATAATATTTTAGTGTTCCAAATTGCATCCTGAGATACTATGAGAATATTCCAGATAGAATACACCCTCAATTATCATTAGGAAGGAAAGAAAAATAAAAATAAAAGGATCATAATGATTTTATTATGGAGTTCAGGATTAGATTATGTTATAGAAAACATAAAGATTAGCAGGTTTTGCATTACATAATTTAGGGGAATTTCTTTGCAGTAGCTTTGTGTCATGAACTCAGGATATACAAATGTTTAAGTTACATACTTTATCTATCTATAGGAATAAGTGGGCAGAGAATAAATACGTGAACCATCTATCAGAAAGCATTAACATCCGACTTACGGCTAAACTTTTGGCAACAAGCTTGACACCCTGAATGATTGAGGCTTCACTGACAGAATGTCTGCATAATGAGTCATGAATTTAGTAAATAAGTATCAAGATGATACGTCATAAACAAAAGATAGATTAAGAATAAGTCATAACCTGTTATCAGCGAGACCTCCGGTACTTTCTAGCAATTCAGGTGGAGCAGAATGTTCAGAAAGGGTTGCAGCAGTCACTCTTAGCTTTGAGAATTGTTCGTGCTCCCAGGCTACCTACAGCATTTCTTAGTAACTTCAGCACAGTAAAACAACCGAATACACTATGCAGCTTTTTATTAACAGTTGGTTCATGAAAAGACACGTTCTGGTGACTTGCAGCACACAACTTTAAATTTACTTCACCTTGCAAGCAAAGATGTTACTAAAGAATGATTCACAACGGGTGAGTGGGCTTAACAGGACATGCAAATCAGGAAAATAGAAAATATCACAAAAATGATAATAATTCCTTAAAAAAATTATTCCTGAAATATTAGACAGGCTATAATTTGTAGATAAATAGTTTGCACTTTGCAGTCAGCATTCAGTGGGAAACAAGACATTTTAATTATACACTTAAAACCATGCCAGCTCTCTGATCTAGTTCAGGAACCTATGATATATTATGGCGATGTGTCCAGAATAAGAAGTCAAGGAGTTCATTTAGTGTTAATTGATTTTATGCACAAATTCCTTTCACCCCAGGGAAATAATAAATCTGATGCCAGCAAAATCTGCATCAGAGGGAGAAAATAGTTAAGAAATCTTTTCTTCTAAACTCCTATTATTTCCATCCTATAGGTTTTACCAAATGCTCTACCATTCACTTTTAAAGCCATAGTTCTTAAATTTATTCACCCAATAAGTTGGGAAGAAGAAATTTATTTGGAAGATCATGTTCTGAAAAATGCTACTCCACTTTAGGATGCAAAAGGAGCAAACTTTTCATTTCATCCAGAAAGGCTTTACACTTTCTTCACCAAGAAATTTGTATAACTGTATTTCCATTGAGGTCCACTTACCCCAAATCTAGTTCAGAGCTAATATTCTTATTTTGTTAAGATTATGTTTGGAATACTGGTTAAATGCTCACATTTTGTGCTAGCTGAAGAAGGAAGAGGCGCAATGTGTACTTGGAAACACAGAGATCCTTATTAATTGAAAGTGAGTAATGCATTCATTGCTAATAAGAATATCACATGCTTGCATACAGATTTATAAATAATAATTGACAAAATAAATTACAAGCACATATTTCAGTACTCTCTGTAACTACACTCTTTGATTTCTCCTTATTTCAACTCTACTAATTTATCTTTTCTTTTAAGGAACTTTGCACATACTAGAGTAAATTAGAACCTTGGAAACATGGAGCAAATAAAAACTCAAATCAACAAAATTATGTGATCCCCATGAAAAATCAATAATTACACGGCATATTCAAATGCAGCATAGAGACAAGGAAGCTATAGATATATGATCCAAGTGTGATATTGTTTCATCAAATCAAATATCAGGATCAATTTCATTATAAACCAAATGATATAACAAAATAAAATAAAATTCATTTGATGCACCCAAAAAAAAAAAAAAAAAAAAAAAAAAAAAAAAACTTCCTAGCATTAAGAAGACCTTCGTGAAAGAACAACAATATTGTGCAAAATAAACATTTGCAGTGAGTCTAATTTGCAGAGGACCAGAGACATCTACTTACTCGAGGATTAGAGATATTGATTTTCTTGTGTTTAAGACCAACTTTAACCCCCAATTCTTCTCCAACATTAGAAAAGCCCTGCAGAAATCCAGTCATTAGTCTAGAAAGAAGTCCAAAGTAATCTTATTTGGTCAATTGCCAAAGGTTTCTTTCAGCAATAGCTGGCATATGATATTTAAGTGTTTTTAGGTTTTGAGGAATTTCTCAAAGTACACTAATTTGAACAACAGTTTATTAAATGCAGCTGTTATAAAATGTGTTTCAAAAACACATTTACAGAATATGATATTTCATCACATTTGCAGAAGACAATGTCAGGACTTGGTTGTAAAGTACTAAAGTGTGACTTAAAGTCGCATTTGGCTCAGAAGTTCCAGAGCACTCTAAAGATTGATCTGAGTTTGTCAAAGGAAAAGTGATTTCTTTTCAAAATAAAGAATATAAAGGAAACAATTAGACAACCACTGCCCATCAAGCAAAGATCAAAACTCAAAAACATTCTAGAGTAAAACCAACCAAGTCAAAAACTGTAGTGAAAAAACATTTTGTTGTTCAAGATACTAATGGTCAACCAATAATTTGAGTGTTGAGCATCGTCATGTTAAAGAGAATTCTAGAAGCATGCTCTATCAGGCTTGCATGAAGAACAGGGCCACAAGCAGACAAAGAAGCATCCAGGGATTTGGTGACAGACATTATTTACCAATGCAACCTGATATCATAGTTTACTAAAGTAGCACACTTTGGAATTCCTCTTTAGGTTTTTAACTTGAAGTCATTCCACCCTACCTGAAAGATTTGCTTTATGTACGCATTTTCGGGAGGTTTAGACACATGCATCCATAAGTCGTTGTTAGATGAGCCAATGCTATTCAAGCAAATAGCATAATCTATACTCTCACGTAAACGTTGGTCAAAACTCCGAAGCCACTGCAAATGTCAAAATTAAAAAAGTCAGTAAATGGAAAGATATCTGATCCATACCAGCAATGAGAAAGCAAATCAGGAAAGGGAGGCACCTTATAAGTTCCATTGTAGTTATAAGGTCCGCCAGATGTCAACCCAAAAAGTAAATTGTACCTGCCTCTTGTTTTGGGATTTGAATAAAGAATGGAAAACAACCTAGCTAATTCAAGAAGTGCCACAACACCACTTCCATTACTATCACTCCCAACAGACAATGCCTACCAACATAAAATTTCTATATTAGGTTGTCATGCAAAATGCCCTTCAAATGTAAAACAAATTACAAAAGAAAGGTTTTTAAAAAAATAAAATAAAATAACTTACTGGTGCAGCTCCAAATGTGTCATATGATGCAACTATGGCAATAGTTGGGAGTTGGCTCTCTCCATCACTTTTCAAGCCAGGTAACCATCCCTGATAGTTAACAACTGAATAAATTCACTAAAATTTCAAACATCCTAAATAGTTTCAAGGACAACTTATAGACGATGCCTGTGAACATTAGAATAATCGATGAGTGATGGACAATTAACAAAAACCTGAATATTTGAAATGGTGGGAGATGCAATTTTCTTTGGTTCTCGAGCAGAAACAACAAACTTGAATCTGTAAGGTGCAATTACTTGTTTAGTAAAATGATGACAATAATCCAATATTAGCATTAAGATTGGCATGCAATTTCCCTGATGCATGTTAATAACGAGAAATGACAAATGAAAGATCAGCAAGCATTGAAATGGAGGAACCAATACAATATTCTTGGCTCAAATCCAGAAAAAAAGGGAAAAGCATTTTCATGACTTTCAAGACCTCACAGATATAACCATATCGTTCTAAAACAATATAACCAGCTTTTCTAATTGGAGTACAATAAGAAATTTTTATGTTTCAAAAGAGAACGCATAGTCATGGTTTCGATACAATTTAAGAAAAGAAGAACCTATTTCTGGGAACACAAAAATTTATAAAAATTTAAATTTAAATTCAAAAGCAACAAGAGCGTGCAAATCAAGTACATAAAGAAACACTTGTAAGCAAAAACAATAACCCAAGTACAATATTTCACAAAACAATAAGTTAATCTACTAACCCGCCTGTTGTGGCTGTTGCAGGCTGACCAAGAGCATCATCACTTCTCTTGATATCAGCTAGTACAGAATTGATATTATCATCCTCGAAAGCAAAATAAACGGGATACTGGAACAGATTACAACAGCATTGAATAACATTGCATTACGTTAGAAAGACGGTGACAAAAAGTAAAGTAAAACTTATCATTCAAAACACCAGAGAACTGAGAAAAAAAAAAAAAAAAAAAAAAAAAAAAAAAAAAAACAATGCAAAGGCAAGTAGGCAACCATCATAAAATTTATGAAAAAATTTCAGAAAATGCACCTATTCACTCACCGGGATGTTGACATGAATAAGCAACTGCTCCAGCTCATTCAATATGTTCCTTGTGAGGTCTATTTCAGAATTAACATCAGCTCCACCAGCAGTGTCCAGGTTATCTGGACTAAATTTTGGAGGGAGTAACAACAGTAAACCCCCTAAAAGCTTATTCTGTCCAATATATTCTGCCATAAGATTACAGATTAGGAAAAAGCAATCTTAGTTAAAAAGACCAAAATGACGAAATTACAAAAGCACATTTTATGCAGAAGGAAAATTGGAAATTGAAAAGGGACACAACTAAGTTTGGAGGTCTATGTTACGTAAATTGAAGTGTAACCAAAGTGCTCACTTTTCAGACACTTAATAACTGGAAAACACAGTCAATGAAGCAAGTCGACAAAAATTAAAATAGTTTTTCCATGTAAGTAATAATAATAATAATAATAATAATAATAATAATAATAATAATAATAATAATAATAATAATAATAATAATAATAATAATAATAATAATAATAATATTATTATTATTATTATTATTATTATTATTATAATTAATAATTAATAATAATAATAATAATCTGGTCAACTACATGCATACTTTGACCCAGCTTGTTTGGAGCTTTTTCTGCTTTAGAATAAGACATTAGGATGCAGTAAAAATATACATTGTTTTCAAACCAAATAAGAGAAAAATGCCTCTTTATTAAGAAGCCAGCATCCTGGCTAAAACAAAACTATAAATCTTGCAAAATATGTTTATTTTCTCCAAATCTTATTCTACCACATCTTTTTAGTTAACTCACACATTCATACCATAATATGGAAGTTAACAGAAGGTAGCATCTGGAAATAATTTATTTTTGAATAATATTCACGTGTGTTTAAAAACATATTTTGTGTGATAAGCATTAAGAACAGTTAGTAATCAGATAAAACGATAGGAAAAGAATCATGCCCTAGGCTTGCAAAAAGTTTTATTTTACTTTGTCTTTTAATAGTGAAGCTGCTGAAGCATGATATAACTTTTGTTTCCCGTGTTTTCAATAGTTGAAATTCCATGCCTTACGTTTGAGCCACATCTTCAATGTAATTAAAGACTTGTCACCAAAATATGAGGAAGAAAAGGTAATATATGCAAACAAAGAAGTGTGTTTATTTAAAGAGAACAGCAAAAGTAATCTCCAAAAGATGAGGGAAAAAAGGCAATATTCTTCTTTCCAGTTCAAGAATCTATGTTATCATTGACTTGATTTTGTGATGATGCAATAATTTTATCCCAACACAATTGTCAATCAGTAAAGACAAAGATGAAAACCACTTGGGGAAGTTGCTAGGCATCAATGCCAGACTAGTCACCTTTTTCTTCCTCCCTTTACCTGCACTAAGGTTTCTTTCAATAACTATATGTGTTTCTACTAAACGCTATTTAGCATATCATACAATCAGATCGCAGATGAGTAAGTATTCACTTCATACCCATTCATCATACTGCAATCTACTTTCTATAATATTTAAAAAAATTAAAAAAAAAATGCATACAAATATATGATGTAGTTCTCATCTCTATCTCCCATCCATCATAAAACCCTATATAGCATATCCCACTGCTTCTCCAATCAGATCATAGATGATTAAGTATTCACTTCATACCCGGCCATCCATCATAAGACCCTTGCAATCTACAATCTATAATACTCCGTATATAAAAGAAAAAAAGGCATATGATGTAGTTCTCATCTCTATCTCCCATAAAACTAAATAGTCAAGCCTCGCCAAAAGGTTGTGGTGCATAAGTTGCTGCTTTAACTTCATTTCTAGCATGCCTAACCACATTTAATGAAATGCACCAACATAAAATGGCTAGCTACTCATAGCTCTGTGAATATGCAAACAGCAACAGTCTTCCAACCATACAAATGTTTAAACATTAAACAAGAATATCTATCATCCAGCTCAATGATTTACGGTGCACAGATAAATATCCAAATGAACTTAAAATTCTCTCGGAGCTTGGACTTTTTTTACTTCGAAGAGTCAAAATGCATTTAATAGTAACCTAACAATGTTACAACTCAATACAATGAAAGCCTGAGCTTGTTTGGGCAATGAGCAGTAGCACACCTTTGATGAGAGTGAGATTCAGTTCACGAAGCGGAAGCATGATAACCGATCGTGATAGATCGGCAAAGGAGCCGTCACCCGGGGATAATAACGAGGAGCCGGCGTGATGGTTGAGCGAGGCGATGCGAGATCCATAGGGGACGCCGGAAAGATCATACTGGACGAGCCGGTAGACGTCGACGGCGGCGACGGCATCGCCGAGCTCGACGCAAGCTACGAGCACGAACACCAGAACCATCACCGAGTAATAGACCGGCGTCAACATTTCCGGCTTCCTCGGTTCATTCGCCATCGCAGAAGAGTTGGACTGAGAAGTGTGAGGGTTTTGGAAGAACAGTAAACAGAGGCCGGTTGATCTGGGACGATAATAAAGAATTTACTGGCGGGCCAGACGGCTGGCCGGGGTTCTGATTTGTGATTATTATTTTGTGTTGTTTGATATATTGATTCAATTATTAGTATTATAATTATTATAATATAATAATTATAATTATAATTAGGAATAAGGGTCAAATAGGCCACTGAACTGCACACCAAACTATAATTAGGTCATTGAACTCAAAAAATATGCAATTAGGTCCCTAAATTACACAAATTTATGCAATTAGGTCTAAAATGACATGTTTACCTGCTATGTAGGTTGCGAATTTTAAAAATAATTTTTAAATAATTTGAAACAAAAAATTAATTTAAAAAAAAAAAAAAAAAACAGAACGGCCGGAGATGAAATCGTCTCCGGCCGTTCTTCGTCTCCAGCCTTCGTCTCCAGCCACGGAGACGATCTTCGTCTCCTGCCATGGAGACAAAGACCTTCGTCTCCCTGGCCGGAGAGACGAAGACCCTTCATCTCCATGGCCAGGAGACGAAGGTCTCTTCGTCTCCCTGACCACAAGTTTATTTCTCCTCACATTTATTAATCAACTTTCACCTTTATCATAGTTATTATAAAACTCTTTACTATAGTTTTATAACTATTCTTGGGAGAAGAGGTGAAGAATAGTTATAAAACTCTTTTGATATTATTGTACTTCCTTTACTTTTAATACAAAATTTTTTTTTATCATATTATGCCTCCACATTGTATTGGTATTATTGGGTAATTAATTAGTAAATTTACAGATAAAAATTGTATTAACGCTTTTGATTAGTGAATTGTATTAACTATTGCAAAGAAAGTATATGATAACATTAACTATTTACTTGTAATAGTTAACATGTAAAATACATATAATTGATATAAGGACAATGTAATGAAGTAGTTTTATGTGAAGCATTGCAATACTTTCTATAATAAATGGGGGAGAACGCTCCTTGCTTATTTGCAATATATATTGTGAAATGCTTTCGTAGGAGAGTCTTCTAACATGAATTATTTATTTTTACATTCTTTTTATCATAAGGGTGTTTTGGTAAATAATTTTGTTTTTTTCCCAAATTGTTAACTAAAAATGGTATTCAAAGTTGTGTTTCAAGTTTTGACACTTTGGCATCAAAACACTGATTGAATCCGCTAAAAACAAAGGTATTTTTAGCATTTTGGCTAAGTAAAATTAGCTGATATAATTTTTTTTTTTTAAAGTTAATTGAAAGAACTGCATTGAGCAGATTTTTGAATTTTATCGTTTTAAAACAATAAGATGTTGCAAAAGAAACTGATTAACCAAGTACTCATATTGGCTATTTAACCAAGTCAAACAGCTAATAGTAGTCAAACAAATCAAAATTGACTGATAAGCTAATTATATTATCAAACAGGGCCTAAAAGTGATTAAAATTACATGCTCAACCTTTTTAACTTGATGATGTTGAATAAAGATAGACAAATTGTAATGAATGTAATTATAGGTCCCCAAACTATACATGAGAGACCAATTGTGTTATGAAACCATGCGTGACGGGCTCAATATATAAGATGTTAACAATAATTAAATTCATCATGCTTCACCCACTAAACTACATTTTCAAAAAGCATCAGACATATCTTTTAAACACAAAAATGAAGTCAGGTTTATAGCCACATTCATCACAAGAACATTAATGGAGTGTTTGGTAGGATAGAATTATAATTTCATTCCTACCAAACTCCATGGAATTGCAATTCCATGGTTTAGTTAAAAGAAATTGCAAATCCATAGTAAATTACTATTTTACCTTTATTATTATTATTATTCTTATTATTATTATACAAGGACATTTAATCTTTATTCACTTATGCCCTTTTAATTTCCAATCATTTTATTCATGCCTACCAAACAATAGAATTTAAATTCCCACCAAATTACAGTTCTTTTCCACCCTAATTCCCTTCTTCCAACCAAACGCTTATAAAGATCTGAACATATATACATTTCTTGTGAAAAATACTAATACAGAGAATGAAAGTAACAGAAACCCAGTCACAACACAACAGCTAACAAGATGAAAGTAACATAATCACCACTACAATAGCTCTCACCAAATTTTTCATTACAATAAAAAGTTGTTCAGTTTGAAATCTTAACATTATTACTCATACTATTACTGCATGATCCGTTGAGAGTTGAAACTCACTTATGTACATCAAGCTGATAGTATGATCTCATATACCAAACGCAGAACCCCCTCCTTCCTTATCAAAAGACTGGAGACTAACATGCTTCCACATTAAGTCAAGAATTTTCATCAACACACAAATACCCTATTCTTAAGTCAGTCTCAACATTAGTTTTCTTCTGCACTGGGCCGCAATACTTGAGAGAAAGAAAGCATTGGATGAGTTGAATTAGGGAAGGCGAGAAACCAAAATATCAAAAGCCGAAAAGAGATTGTGTACCAGCAAGATGTGTGTTCCAGGACGACATATCCAGCTCTTTCAATGGATCAAAATATGAATGTGTGTTAGTGAAAATTTCGCTCAGTCACCAGACACTTCTTCATTCTCGGGAAAAATAAATTGAAGGTCTTCGTTGTCCCTATACACTTGCACCAGAGCAGCAGCTTTATACGCAAACAACCCAACCATTGCAGGCAGCAGCTGTGTACGCCACAAAGTAAAGAAGATAGTCAACGATAAACTTAGAGCTTACAGAAGACCGGCTTTAGGTCAGTTACCTGGAAGTCAACAAGATCATGTGCGAAATGCTGGCATAACTCCCATAATCCGTATATTGCTGCGGGTAAAACAAGTCTGGGAGATGAAAGAGCAATGCCACTACCCTTAACAGATTTCACAAACATATCCTCCAAGTCCTCACTTCTAATTCCAATCCTGTAAGAAAATTAGTCCAAACTTTCTTTAAGTCTGCAAAACTTCAAGTTGAGTCACACAGTCAAAATTAATGAATTTATGGATTTAAAATTACTTTTTTGGTTTCTTTTTCAAGAAAATTTCTGGAACCATTTCCTTTGAGAGCTTATCTGCACGTTGGCATAAGAGTTGAAAGTATATGCAACTGCACATAAATGTATCAGCCAAACTTGTTAGTCAGTAATACATAGAATAAGAATATGAAGACAAGTACAGTTTTACACACACACACACACATATATATATATATAGAACTAGCCAAGACGTTCAATTGAATAATGTATGGCTCCTGGCACCACTTTAGTGTCAAAGAATGAGAACTTCTTGGCAAAGCATATCCTCTATGACTTAAGTAGTTCAACACTATCATGTTTAATTATCCAAACTTGCCAAGCTCAGGTTAACAATGACAAAATGACTGGCAGAAATGTTTTAAGCAAAAAATATCAGACCCAACCTGAAACACACTCCTGTTGCATAGCTGAGAGCAGCCTGTAATGAACAAGCAAAACCAGTCAATCATATAGGGTACACAACGCACAAATTTCTACAATTTCTTTTTTTGGGGGCGGGATCCATCATTTCTTTCTTTGGGATGTTATCAATGACTATATGGGGGGTTTTTGTAGCTCAAATAGCATGGTTTCTTTTGTGGAAAATTTCACAACTCATGTTTCTAGGTCTCTGGTACATTTGTGCTTGGGTACACCTGTAAAATTACCTATAAAACACACACACAACCCCATTCTTTCCTTCTCAAGAAGTAGGTAAAACTGGAAAATAAACTTTGCAAAATCTCAATTGTATTAATAATGGTCAGTAGATGGAGAGCAAGACAGAAAGGCACCACTAAATTTTTAAGATTATTAATTACATTAATATGGTTTCCGAAGATTAATTAGGAAGATATTTGTGCTTCGCTATTCAAATATTCATCATATTGGCAAATATTTCTTACTGTGTGGAGTCTCATCCTTTGTTATTGAGTAATGAGATTTTTCCAATTTCCAGTAAGTAAATTAAAGGTTTGATTTTCTTTATTTTGCTAATGCATAAAATAAGGCAAGAATTTCTTTGTAGAATACACACCTACACACACATTCTTTAAAATATGAATAACTCAAAAAATATAATATGGAGTAGAAATCACCTGTGGTGATAAAGCTACCAGGCAATAGCCCCCACAAGCAGCCCCAATGCTCACAGTTAAAAATAGCAAGTCCCTCTTCAGCTGTAACCAAAGTTAAAAATGTGAAAACCTTTGTTCAGTACAAGAAATTTTGCCGAGTGAATATAAATAGTACATTAAAACACATCAGTAATTCTTAAAGAACTTGCAGATGCTAGTGCCTTGTTTTTAGGTTCTGTATGTACAGGGCTACCAGAATCATCTTAACCTCAAGTTACAAGCGTCTGCTGAGCATAAAAGAAGGTGGCGACTTTACTAGAGAAGAATTTCACAAAATGATAAATACATCAGTTATGGATATAAAGTATACAGAAAAATACTCTGTATTAAAGAATTAAAGAACTTAATTATTTATGAATCTATCAAGGAACTGAGCAGATTAAACTTCGAAGTTTTTAATAAGTATCAAATACAAGATACTATGAGAGCTTCAAGCTGAAAGGTGGCTGCATCAGAGAAGAAATAGAAAGGGTATCTTTGCTTCCAGGGAGGATCTAAAATTCAATGACAAAAAATAAAAGCAACAAGTGTAAAATCACCATAATGATTTTCTACAGCCTTATAAACCACACGGCAACTCTGGTTACTCCCAGAAACTGATGAACAAGACTATATGCCACTATAACTCAAGCTACAAGTATCTAAGGGAGATTTGAGTTTGAAAGAGAACATACAGCCTCGTATCTGAGAAAGTTCAGCCTTTTCCTTCTCTCACTGTCATCTCGTATTTCCTGTCCATTTCATTACAAGTACCAGTTAATGACTTAACGAAACTAGCACGTAAATATCTAATCTTTCCTTCCCATGATTAACAACCGAAAAGCCATAGTTTGCTAACTATACCTCTATGGTCCTCTTCTTATTAATGGGCGCTGACGCCTCACCCGATAGCCATTCACTGGTGCTCTTCAATTTCAAAAATCCACCCTCATTTTCTTCCCCTAAAGCCTGCATTTTCATTCCTTTCTTTTAACCGTATAGCCCGTTTAGTAAAAACTAATGAATACTTCAAATTGAAAGAAAAATATATCAAAAGGGGAATTCATTCATTCATTCATTCATTTGCATAAACATGAATGCATATGTATGTATACAATCAGTACCTCCTCCAATAACTGAATAGTGTTAGTAGATACAGTGCCAGATTCTGTATCATCGACGCTCGGGGCAATGTCCCTTAGCCAAATTCTGTCAGAAATTCTAGCTATCAAGTCCCCATTGCATTTCCTTTCCTTCAAGAAGTCTCTCAAAACTTCATCCACATCAACTCCGCTCACTATTAACCATTCCCATAGCATATTTTTTAGAAAAAAAAATCCAAAATTTATAATTCAAAATCAAATTAACATGGGGACGGTAAGAGAAGAGTACCAGGAGGAGATGTTTTGATAACAGAGAGCACCCTTGGGATTGTTGAGCTAAAACGACGCCGGGTGGAGGATTTCAGTGGCAGCGTTGTAGTAAAGATTGCAGAAACGGAGTTCATTTTGAATGCGCAAATAGCCATACACTTTTGTTCTCTTGCTTCTGCTCCTCCAAATGATATATCTTCTATAATCAATGATATCCAAAGGCGGAAGAGGGTATCTTAGCAAATGTGACTAACATCAACTTTTTATTTTGGTAAAAGATATTTTTATAAAAGCAAATACCAATTTTGATTCCACGAGTATTATCAAAATGACAGTTTTGGTTCACATATTTAATTTAGGAATAAGGGTCAAATAGGCCATCGAACTGCACAAGATAATGTAATTAGGCCACTGAACCTAAAAAATCAACAATCGGGTCCCTAAACTAACCAATTTCAAACAAACTTTCCAATTTGTAAGTTTCCAACAGGTTAACAGGTCATCCTCCCAAATTAATTATTTTTAAAAAAATAAAATTTAAAAATTAATTATTTAATTAATTTTAAAAAAAAAAAAAAAAAAAAAAAAAAACAGAAACGGCCGGAGACGAAGAAACTTCTTCGTCTCCGGCCAGTTTCTTCGTCTCCCCGGCAGGATACGAAGATTTCTTCGTCTCCGGCCATGGAGACGAAGAGTTTCTTCTTCTCCATGGCTGGAGACGAAGAAACTCTTCGTCTCCACGGCCGGAGACGAAGAGTTTCTTCGTCTCCAGCCATGGAGAAGAAGAAACTCTTCGTCTCCATGGCCGGAGACGAAGAAATCTTCGTCTCCGGCCGGGGAGACGAAGAAGTTTCTTCGTCTCCGGCCGTTTCTGTTTGTTTTTTTTTAAAAAAAAATAATAATTAAATAATTAATTTTTAAATTTTATTTTTTAAAAAATAATTAATTTGGGAGGATGACCTATTAACCTGTTGGAAACCTACAAATTGAAAGATTTGTTTGAAATTGGTTAGTTTAGGGACCCGATTGTTGATTTTTTAGGTTTAGTTGCCTAATTGCATTATCTTGTGCAGTTCGATGTCCTATTTGACCCTTATTCCTTTAATTTATATCAATTTTCATTCACTACTATTTTTTAGTATCAATTTTCATCCACTACTATTGTTTTATTGCCAAAATTAATGACTCTGGTCACTCCTTCGTTTAAGACATGTAGAGATATGAAATTATTAAGTGTATTTTTGTCATTTTCAAATTAAGATCTGAATTTAAATATGAATAAAGAGATTTAAGTCATAAGATCGATCTCAGTTCGTAGTTCTCCTCATTAAATTAAGGTAGGATGAGGAAGAGAATTGCGAATCGGAATCAATCTTAGGGCTTACATCCCTTTATTCATACTCAAATTAAGATCTTAAGTTGAAAAGAATAAAAATATCTTTAAATATTTTAAGTTCCGGCATGACTTAAATGGAGGAATGACCGGTGTGATGAATTTTGGCACTAAAATAATAATCGTGGATGAAAATTAGTAGGAATTAAACATGTGGATTAAAACTGTTATTTTACTAATACTCGTAAGACCAAATTTGGTATTTGCTCTTTTTATGAAAAATATATGAGATCAATAAAAAAATAAATAAATAAATAAAAGAAGAGCAAACTAAAACTATATAATAAAATTAAATGTTAACTTTTTTTCAAGACATACAATTACATAAAAATGTGCGGTATGTGTGTTTATAAACGGGAATGAATATATTATAAAATAAAAAATCTATAAATTATAAACAATATATATTGGAATTGTGAAACACACTCTAAAAATGGAATTTGTAGTGTCTTGTTTGAATTTGACGTGTAAATTCAAATTAAACGGACATGTATCGTCCATTGAATGGATTTAGGGGTCGTTTGGTTCACGGAATGTCATATTACCTTAGGGAATGTTAGATTGCTGGGAATGTTAGATTGCTGGGAATGTTAGATTCCTGTGTTTGGTTAAAATTTGGTATGTAATATAATCATGTTTGGTTTAGGGTTATCTTTATTCACACACTATAATATCCTTAACATATTTTCATATATTTTAATAAATTTAAAAATTAAAATAAATAAATAAGATAATGGTATCATATATAATTACATGATTTTAAAATATTAACTAAAATATTGAACTTGAGAAACAAAATTATTTTATATGCTAACCTAACATAATAAAAATAAAAAAATATATAATTACAAAAATAATTTTATGTGTGTGTGTGTGTGAGAGAGAGATAAACTAACATAACCAAGGTTATCTTACATAACCTTAGAAATTGAAGGGAATCACATTCCCTTCAAAATTCTATGTGGAGGGAATGTGACATTCTTGGGGAATGTTAGATTCCCTGAGATAATGTGAACCAAACAGAGGAATATGAGCTTTGGAATGTTACATTCCCTTGGTTATGTTATATAACCTGAACCAAACGCCCCCTTAGGAGTTATTTGGTTAAGAGTATTTTTACATGTACTTTCAATTTATACCTTCATTTTATGTTTCTTATGACTTGACATGCTTTGATTGTTCAATTTTATATGGAATCATGATGTTTATTAATTTCTTCTTTTTTTTTTTTTTTGTTCTCCTTCAATTAAATTTAAACACAAGTAAAAATAAAAGTTGGGAGTTTTTACTTTTTTGGAATACATGAAATATTTTCCTTTGGTTAATTAGATTGGAAGTAGATCCATACTTCCATAGTGAACAATTTTGACTATGAGTTATACTACATAGACTCCCAAAATTGTACTCCCTCATTTATACTCCCTGAGGTGGCAAATTAGGATTGATTATTTTCATCATGTGGGTCCACAGAAAAATGTCTACATCAAGAACATGTGAGAGGGAGTACAAGTTGAGAGTTTAAAATGGGAGTACACTAAGTATTTTCCTTTGACTATTGTTTACATTAAAACATGAAAAGACACATTGATGTGATTTATTAGTGTGATTCAAAACTCAAATATTAAGGGATTTTCAATAGTGGGCATTTTGGTGTATTTTTTTAGGAGTTTTTGTAAGTATAATTTAAAAAAAAAAAAAAGATGAGAGAAAAGAGAAAAAAGAAAAATGTAAAACATAAAATTTTGATTTCCAAAATAAAAAAAAAAATATCGTAAACAGCGCCAAAAACGTGCCCAGCTGGGCGCATCTGTTATTCCCACGCGAAATAATAGCATCTAGTATTAATTTTTTATAGGCCCCACTTTCTGCAAAGAACCCCATATTTACAGGAGTATATTTTATTCTCTCTCTTAGGGCATTCCCAAAAGGAAGATTTTACAAAACTTTTGGAACACGAAAATCTGGCATAAGACATTTTGACAAATGGGGATGTTGCATTTTGGAGAAATCTTTCTCCTACAACACCCCCAAAATTTGTCAGAGTTTAAAAAAAAAATGTCAAGAGATTGAGAGTGGCCGGAGTACTTTTTTTTATTATTTACGATGCAACGGCCAACTTCTTTCTTTCTTTTTTTTTTTTTTTAACTTAACTTTTTAAAATTTTTATTTTTAAAAAGTTAAATTATTGTTATTAAATTTATTAATATTTTTATTAATTAAATTAAATTTATATTTGTAGATATGTTATACGCATATTTATGTATGTTCATTCATAGCATTATCTCATAATTACATATGTTCACTCATTTATGTTTATTATAAAATCATAAATCAAATAAATAAAGAAATCCTATCCTATCCTATCCTATATATAATAAAGCTATATGGTCTTGTGAAAATTGAATGTTGCATTTAATTTTCATAAGACCATATGGCTTTAAGAAGCATGCATGCAACCCCAAAGTCCATAAGTTTGAAATTAATATATAGCATAGCTATGTGGCTTAATATTTAAGATTGTTGATGTGCATATTGAGGACTACGGAGACAAAGATGCGTTATTCGTGGATTCATCGGATACTATCCAACAACACTCTCAAACTTAATTGACGTGAAGTAGGCTTAGTAACAATAAGATTATATTCTCGAATTATTAGTTCTCATATTTTATTGATTACACACTTAATTCGATAGTATTTGGAAGAAAAAAATCAATGTTCTGACTAAGATTATGATTTTTGTCTTTAAAGGTCAATTGTATATTGCTACATCTAAAGTTAGAAATCTCAAAGGTCTAAAAAATTTGATCCGTGGTGACTCTAAAATTGTAATTCAATTACTATTGTAATTTACTAAGTTCTTAAAAATTTATAATATTAAATACTATGTACTAAATTTTTAATATAATTTAAGATTTGTAGTAATCACCCACCTTAAATATTATTTTAATTGTAAATATATTTATGTTCATAATTTTATCATAGGAATTCACACATAATAATTATTAAATAACAAAAATTTTATATATGAATAAACCTCATATAGTGTATCTTTTTATAACATATTTTCCGTGCATCGCACGGGACAAATACAAGTAATTAAAATATAGATATAAAATGGTGGTTCTATAAAAAGTTTTGCAAAAACTTAAAACTAATGGGAAAAAGAGATTTTGTGATTGAGTGAGATAGTGGATTATGAGGTGGATGTTGGGGCCCACAAAAATGTGGGATAAAATCCCCAACTATTGAGGATGCCCTCATGTTTCTCTTTCTTCCATGTAGGCATTTGTCACTTAAAATTCGTGAACAATTCCCTTATTGGGGTTGCTCTTGGAGTACAATACTACAATGTTGTTAAAATTGGTAATTTGAAATCATTAGGGCAACCCCAATAGGGGATCTTCACCAAATTTTAGAATAATAAAATTCCTTGGATGAGTTTTTCACAAATAGAAGAGGAAGATTATGCAAAACTTTTACTCTTGCAAAAAAACTTCTTGTCTGCAAAAAAAAAAAAAAAAAAAAAAAAAAAAAAAAAAAAAAAGGTGAGAAGTGGGGCCCTGCAAAACAAAGTTTCTTGTGAATTATACTAAAACAGTGGGGCCCAGGTGAGAATAACAAGGAGGATTAAGACGAAAAAAAGAGAATTACAATATGGAGATAAAATAGTGGGTCCATAAAAAATTGGGAAGAAATTTAAAATTAATGGGAAGAAGAGTTTTTGTGGTTGAGTGAGATAGTGGATGATGAGGTGAATGTTGTGACCCACAAAAATATAGGATAAAATCCCCAACTATTAAGAATGCCCTTACAAATAGTAAAATGAGATCAAATTTAATAAAATTAAATTAAAAAAATATATTTTAATGACATTCAATCAAACATTAAAAATAGTACTACATTCGGATGTTTTTGAATACTACTGAAATGTAGTACTCACTCCGTCCCATTTTATGTGTCTTACTTTCTTTTTTTAGTTTGTCCCAAAATAGTGTCATCTTTTTAAAATTGAACATAACTATCAGTCTACATTTCTCAATTTACCATTTTAACTTTTAAAATTTTTAGAGGTAAGTACAATTGTACTTTATACGAACAACACCTACTTTTGAGGGGCAAAATTGAAAAATTAGTACCATTTGTTATGTTGTATTAAAAACTGTGTAAAAAACAAATGAGACACTAAATTAGGGACGAATGGAGTATATATATTTTTCTCAAAGTTAATGAAGTACAAATAATCAATGTTCTCACCAAAATTTAAACATGAGACTTTCTATTTGAGAGAGTTACGATTATTCCGCTTACAAAGTTTTTGGCGAAAATTGAAAGCTTAGTAACAAAAAATTTGACTCGGTATTTATTTTTTGGAATAAGGGTCAAATAGGCCATCGAATTGCACCAAAAAATACAATTAGGCCACCGAACTTTAAAAAGCTACAATTAGGTCCTAAACTAACTAATTTTATTCAATTAGTTCAATTTGTAGGTTTTGGAGGTTGTTAGCAGGTCACCCCTAATTTATAATATTTCAAAAAAAAATTATTATTTAAAATTAAAAAAAAAAAAAAAGATATCGTCTCCACCGGAGACGAAGAAACCTTCTTCGTCTCCGGCCATGGAGACGGAGTTAACTTCTTCGTCTCCGACCAGAGACGAAGAAGTTATCTTCGTCTCCATGGCTGGAGACTCTTCGTCTCCATGGCCGGAGACGAAGAAACCTTCTTCGTCTCCGGCGGTGTCGATCTGTTTTTTTTTTTTTAAATTATTAATATTAAATAAATTATTTTAAATAATAATTTAAAATTTTTTTGAAAAAGGGTGACCTGCTAACAACTTGAAAAATCTACAAATTAGATTAATTGAATAGAATTCGTTAGTTCAAGGACTTAATTGTAGCTTTTTAAAGTTCGGTGGCCTAATTGCATTATTGGATGCAGTTCGATGGCCTATTTGACCTTTATTCCTTATTTTTTACAAAATGTCAGTAATATAAACATAAACATTGTTATGTTTTTTCTTCTTTTTGGCAAAACATTGTTATGTTATATAGGGTTTTAGATGTAGAGCAACAGACAGAAACCCTAACCCAGCACCTAAAATTCTTTAACAATGGCTGTGCTGAGCGCGAAGCAGGTGCTGCAACAGAGCAACACCGCTGACCCCAACTCCATTTCCAATCTATCCCTCACCCACAAGGCTCTCTCCGACGTAACTTTTCTCCCAAACACTCCATTACTTTCTCTTTCAACTTCACTTATTTATTTTTTTTTTTATTTATACTTCAATTGCAATTTTTTTAAAAAAAAATAGGTATCGTGCTTGGTTGAGTTCGAAAATATTCAAAGACTGGACCTTAGCTTCAACAATCTGACTTCCATTGAGGTACTTTGTCTGGTCTTTCGATTTTTCTTTTATAATTAATCTTTTCGGGTGTTTAATCGGCAACTCAGTCATTTAATTTAATTAATTTATTTATTTTTTTGTTGAAATGAATTTTAGGGATTGAAGTCATGCCTAAACTTGAAGTGGTTATCAGTAGCCCAGAACAAACTTCAGAGTTTGAAGGGAATTGAAGGCTTCAGTAAACTAACTGTAAGTTCACATTTAACCAAATTCATGCATTTGAATTCCATTTTTAGTTTGGATGAAGCTATTTATAGACTGAAGGTAATTTTTTGTTTTGTTTTTATTTTTCACTTTTGTGTGACTTAGGTTCAAAAATTTATGTTTTCGTACGTATTACATCCACCTTAGTATGAACTTCTGTCCTGTTGGTTTTCTACTTGATGGTGTATTTGGTTTTGGGATCAAGCAAAAACTGCCTGAGACAACCTTTCTAAAATAATACTGCCTCCATTCCGAATTGGTTGTCACATTTGCTTTTTGTATCCTTTTTAAGGAATTAAAGTAAATGCTATGTGTTTTTCAATTATGCCCTCACTTTTCTTACTTTTGGAAATAAAAGCAAGCAAAACTCGTAAGGGTAAATTGGGAAAAGTAGAATGATGGTGATGTTCAAATTTGAAAAGTGGACAACATTTTGGGACAAACTAAAAAGGAAAGTAAGACAGGTAAAATGGGACAGATGGAGTACTCCCTAGAATAGAATGTACTTGTAATAAGAATAGTTGGAAATATGTACAGTATGTCAGTATATAATAATTTAAAATGAATCTTAAGAGTGGGGAAGATAGCTCAAAGGTTTATATGATGTTTCACTCCCAATCCAAATATTTTTCATCAAATCTTCTCTAAATTAGATAAACACTGTCTTAACATGGACTTATACACTTCTACTTATTCCTCTGATTGAAATTTGGACATTGGGTTCTTTGGCATAAGAAGTTTCATGCATTGGACCATTTATTGGTTTACCTCATATCTTGGTGCTATCAACTCTGTGCTTCTTCTGGTGTCTTGTAAATGCGTATTAAATGACATTGTTGCTATTCTTTACATCTGAAAGAGTGAAAGCATTTGTGGCATTGACCTATAGGTTTATTATGTGAAGGACCATACTCTCAACTATTTCAGTCTCATATGAGACTGCCAATGGAATATGCTTCTTTTATTGGTTTACTATTCTTAATTCTTGGAACAAAAATATTTTTTTACAAATGAATTTTCAGAAATCTACTCTTCTGGTCTCACATGCATCTAGAGCATTTAAATGTTTGTTTACAATAGCGGACTAGTGGTACATACCACAGTATGGAAACATTAGATGTGATGGGTATTGCATTTGAAGCCTTTTACATATTTGCTTCTCTTTCCAGCATAGCCCTAAGTTTGCATTAAGAAATTTGTGGATAGCTTAAGTTTTGTGTTAAACTTTAAAATTGTTTGTTTGCTGGAAAATTGCTTTATTATTGTATTTATATTCAGCGTTGTAAATTAATTGAGTACTTGATTATATAACTGTACGAGTTCTAAAAGTTAAAAAACTAGTCTTCTTTTTACATTTTCTTCTGTTAAATATTTGTATCAGGTATTTAATGCCTCAAAAAACAAGCTCAAATCAATGGATGAGCTTAGTTCTCTTGTAAGTTTGCGTGCACTGATCTTGAATGGTAAGTTTTTCATCTGTCAACTCCTGTTTGCCTTGAATTAACTGGTTACATCTGGATGAACTAACCTCTTCCCTTTTCTAATTTTACCCTGTGGCAGATAATGAGATTACTTCTATTTGTAAACTTGATCAAATGAAAGACTTGAATACTCTAGGTATTACCATTGATATTTTCAAGCGTTAGAATTGTTTTAGGACTTTAAACACAGTATGATAATAATGTAGCGGTTATATCATTTCAATATCTCTACTGCTTTCCAGAAGATGAAAAAAGTTGGACTTACCTATTAACCTATTTGCCTTTTGGCATTCTTTTGCAGTTCTTTCTAGGAATCCAATACGAGGAATTGGCCTGTTTCTTGCCAAAAAAAATTCACTTTCAAAAGTAAGCAGTTTTTAATTTAATTATCCTTTTTTTTTTTTTTTTGTTTTGTTTTGTTTTGTTTTTTTTGTTTTTTTGTTTTGTTTGGTTGTTTGTAGAAACCTATATCAATGCATCTATGATTTAAATGGAAGCTTTCCTTGCAGTTGTCTCTTTCTAACTGCCAGCTACAATGTATTGACTCTTCACTCAAATCATGCACAGAGTTAAAAGAACTGCGACTTTCTCATAATGAGATTAAGGTTTGTGCTATAGTCGATTGTTCATTGCCATCGAGTCATCTTCTTCATCATTCTAGCAATAATTTCCCGGTTTCCATCGTCAATTTTCAGACACTCCCAAGTGAGTTGGCTTGTAATACAAAATTGCTGAACTTAGACATAGGAAACAATGAGATCATGAGGTGGTCAGAGCTTAAGGTAGGTATTTTTATTTCAGATTGCAGATGTTTGTTCTACTATCCCTCCCCCTGCTAATGTTATGTGATTGATTCCCAGTTTTGAATTTACCTGTGTATATATATATATATATATATATATATATATATATATATATATATATATATATTCATATTCATATTGACCACATTTGATTACAGGTTCTGTCTTCACTAGTTAACCTAAAAAATTTAAATCTGCTTGGGAACCCTATTGCTGAAAAGGAGGGTCTGGCAAAAAAGGTGAATTCTGGCTGCACATTTTTTTTGTAATCTCTTTATGTCATAGCTTGCAATGACCTTTCTGAATCATGCTTGATCAGATTAAAAAACTAGTGCCAACTGTGGTGACTTTTAATGCTAAACCGATTGACAAGATCTTGAAGGGAGAAGTTGGAAGAGCCGATAATTCTGATGATGTCAATACGGAGTTGGTAGTTCAGAATGAGGTGCCAATAGATCATGTGAGAAGGAAGAACTCCAGAAAACATAATTTTCTAAGTGAAAACGAGGGTGTTCATCCTGACAGCATGGAGGAGGAAACATTGAATCATAATGACAATATTGCTTTATTCAATGAGAAATCAAAGAAGAAATTGAAGTTGCACAAGAATATTGCTGATAAAGTAGAAGTTATATCCCAAGATCCTGGTGTGACAAAGGAATCAAAGCAAAAGGACAAGAAAAAGGATGAAAATGTTAAGGAGAAAACTTCTGATCTTGAGATGCAGCTGTTGGAGGATAAAAAGCATACCAACAATGACACTGAAGCTCTGTCTGACACCAGGAAGGAATCAAAGCAGAAAAAACCAAAAAAGAGTGAATTTGTAACTGAGAAAACTTCAAATCAGAAAGTAGGTGTTGCCAAGATTGAGAAGGAACTAGGTAAAGAACAGGTGGCCAAACAAAGTAAAAATGCTGTGATCGATGATGGAGAGACTCCTTTCATGGATCTTTTTATGGCTGACATGTCAACTAATTCCATAAGCAGTGGTAGGATGGAAACAGATCAAGGAGCCATTCATACTGTTGATGAAATTGCAGGTGTAGTTACTTTCAGTAAAAAGAAAAAGAAGAATAAGAAACAAAACATTGATCCCACAGCTCTGCAATTATCAACAGCTGCTGATGAAGTTGGTTTGGGTGGACCATCAACGTGGGATGCTTAAAAATATTCTACAGAGAAGACTGGCTTGTTTTATTTCTGTTTTGCTTATTTGGCCTTTGGGTACTCTATTTTAAGCCTTTTCAACCCATTTTGGGTAGTTCAAAGTGAGGCGATTTGCACGAGATAATAGCCTCATGGTTCAAGCTTATAGCTTGTGTCCCTAACACCTACCATGAGTGCTTGAATGAGAGGGTGGACTCTGAAACTTTCATGACTGATACTCTGAGAGTAAACCCTTAGAAGTTTGTAATTCCTATTTTCTCAGCAAGTTTGAATTTCATAGTGATGATTTTTTTGAAGATAGATTAGCAAAACTTTGCATTGGCTTCACTTAAAGCTTGTTTCCATTGGCATGGCAGTGGTTTGAGTTTGGGATAGTCTTCTTGTTTATAGAAGTTTATTTAGTGTTGAGTCTTGATTTACCTCCTTATGAGTTTGGGATGAGTTCATAGGGTTTAGGATATAGCGTAAGGAAATCGAAATATCTAGGTTATCAAAGAAATTAAATGAAACTAATCACGAGGTTTGAATGTAAAAAGAAGTGGAGGGTTGTGAATGGTATATGGCTAGATGATTTTAGAAATAATTCTATTGGTATCTTTACTAGCCTCTTCTTCTTTACTATATAAAAGCAACAACAGTTTGGAGGGAAAAGTTGCAATCGTTATGCGTTGGACTCGTGTCCAGCATGCATGCTGGACATGGGTAACAGTGCCTTATCTTTCTTTTTTTTTTTTTTTTTTTTTTTTTTTAAATTTTAGACCGCTTCGTTATAGAAGTATATGTTCATAATTTTATTACTATATGTTAATAATTGTACATTCATAACTCCATAACTGTACGTTCATAACTGTACATTCATAACTCCATAACTGTACATTCATAACTCCATAATTGTACATTCATATTTTCGAAGCTCTATGTTCACAATTTTAGAGCTCTATGTTCATAATTTTATCACTATATGTTCATAATTGTAAGTTCATAATGTTGGAGCTCTTTGTTCATAATTCGATCAATAACTGTACATTCATAATTCCATAACTGTAGATTCATAATCTCATAACTGTAGATTCATAACTCCATAACTGTAGATTCATAACTCTATAACTGTACATTCATAACTCCATAACTGTACATTCATAATCTTCGAAGCTCTATATTCACAATTTTAAAGCTCCATGGTCATAATTTTATCACTATATATGTTCATAATTGTAAGTTCATAATGCTAGAGCTCTGTGTTCATAATTTCATAATTGCATAACTGTACATTCATAATCCAAAAAAAAAAAAATAACGCCGTTAACGGCAAAACGCGCGCGATTTTTTTTTTTTTTTTTATAAACTAAATGACGCGTTTTTTTTTGAAAAACGACGTCGTTTTGGGCCCGTGTCCACAATTCATTGTGGACACGGGCCCAGGGCATAATTTGCCGAAAAGTTGACCAATATTTATAAGTTTAAAGGATTTTAGGTATTGAGCTGCAATAATGGATTAGCTTTGGGCCAGAAATTAAAAAAATATATAACAATGTATTAATCCAACATTTGTTATATTAAAAATTCTATTTTTATTATATTATAAAAAATGTTAATTGATTTATTTTTTTATAAGTTTTATATATATATATATATATATATATATATATATATATATATATATATATAAATGTTAGGTTTATACAATACATAAAGTACAAGTAAAAAATATGCACAAAGTTATAAATTTATTAAATATTAAAATTAGATGAAACCTTTAAAAGATAATATTACGCATATAAAGAGATCTTGATTTTTATTTAATGTTAATTATAATTGAACCACACCTCAATTATAATTGGACTTCACATATGTAAAAAACAAGAAATTTCTATATAAAATCAATATAGTTCTTAGATTTACACACTTTTTTAAATGAATAAGTTTTACATTTTATAGTTAAATTAAAAAAAAGTTAAATATTACATTGTATAGTTATATTTATATTTTAATAAAATTATATCTACTTAGTATCAACATCATAACATTAAAATAATACTTTTAAAATTGTGTCCGTGCATCGCACGAAAAAAATACTAGTTTATTATAATAATCCAATATATAATGTCTACAAATATTATTATCATTAAAAAATATAATAAAATATATGGTGGATGCATGTGCATGGTAAAAAGATAACGAAAGTTATAACGGTAGGGGAATTTTTGTCCAAAAAATTATATAGTACAACTCTAAAAACACAATGTACAAATGATTAGCATTAAAAAACATCGACATAAATGATGGATATAACTTTGATTGAGACTTATTGGCCCTGTTTGGTAAAAAATTGGCCTATATGCCAATTTTGGCTTATTTGACCACTATTAATTGTTTGATTTAGTTAAAATATCAATATAAATGTTTGGTTAATTAACTTTTTGCAACTCCAAAAGTCTAAAATTCAAAAAGCTACTCCAAGCAATTTTTTCAATTAGCTTTTTGAGAAAAAAAAATTATACCAAACAACTATCAGCTAACAACTAATTTACTAAACATTTTTCCACAATCAGCTAATGTAATCAACTATTTATACCCTCTAATTAACAAAATCAGCTAACAGCTAACAGATATCAGCTAACAGTCATTTTACCAAACAGGGCCATTATGTTTTTAGATTAGATTAGAAGTGACATTTTGTCTCCAATTACAATTTAACATACGTGTATGACCTTTCACCTTGAATTTTTCTTGCTTCTTGCTTTTGTACTGTATTTGTTAAAGAGATTAATTTTTAACGTATTTGCTAAAAGTAGGGATAACCACAATTCTGATTTTAGAAATGGACAAACCGAAATCAAAATTTTATATAAAGGTTCCAATTCTAGTTCTTGAATCCGCGGTTCCGGTTCGAATTATAGATTCTAACTTTTTTTTTTTAATATATATTTGAGTATTTGCTATTGGGGGACGTTATGCCATGGAACTGTGTTCACCATTCATGGTGAACACGGTTCCAACGGTGTTAGTACACCGTTATCTTCTTCTTCTTCTTTTTTTTTTTTTTTTTTTTTTTTTTTTTTAAATTAATTGCGTGACTTTTCTTCTTTATTTTTACATTTTACGGTTTCACTTTAATTTGAGGTGAACAAAGATTTCGGACATTCATAAATTATGAATTCATGCCTGCACATTCACTTTGGAACCATGCCTACACATTCCTGTCCGAAACCACGGACATTCATAAATTATGAATCCATGCCTGCACATTCACTTTGGAACCATGCCTACACATTCACTTTGGAACCATGAGATTATGAATTTTCTGTTATAAGATTATGAATTTTCTGTTATGAGATTATGAATTTTCAGTTATGAGATTATGAATTTTCTGTTATGCGATTATGAATTTTCTGTTATGAGATTATGAATTTTCATTACATTCATAATTTCGGACATTCATAAATTATGAATTCATGCCTGCACATTCACTTTGGAACCATGCCTACATATTCCCGTCCGAAATCACGGACATTCATAAATTATGAATCCATGCCTGCACATTCACTTTGGAACCATGCCTACATATTCACTTTGGAACCATGAGATTATGAATTTTCTGTTATAAGATTATGAATTTTCTGTTATGAGATTATGAATTTTCAGTTGTGAGATTATGTATTTTCTGTTATGAGATTATGAATTTTCAGTTGTGAGATTATGTATTTTCTGTTATGCGATTATGAATTTTCTGTTATGCGATTATGAATTTTCTGTTATGAGATTATGAATTTTATCTCATAACAGAAAATTCATAATTTGATCAAACGCGCGCCGTTAACTCCACATCCGCGAATTTTTTTTTTTTTTTTTTTGCCTAAAAACGACGTCGTTTTGCCTTGTATTCACCATTCTCGGTGAACACGATTCCATGGCATAATTTGCGTGCTATTGGCTGCTGGTCTAGAATTCTTTTGAAAAGCCAAAGCCCCAGGCTTTTGCGGCTTTGGCTTTTCAACTTCAAACATACATAAATTTAAATATATATTTTTTCGATTTTGAAACTGGAATCGTCCAGTTACGAATCGGAACCTTATGAGTTCCTGTTCTTAATTGGAACTGGAACCGGAATCATCCATAAGGTTTCAGGATCGAAGGATCCAGTATTGAAAACATTGATTCTTTGAATTGAAAAAATTAATAAAGTATAATAAAATATATACTATTTTGTAGAGAATTATGATTTATCAAAAAAAAAAAAAAAAAGAATAAAAATACATATAGAATTACTCTTTGCTACCCCACATCTTACGTACAGATATTACAGCAAGATTACATGTGTCCTGCCACCTTACACTTTAGCGATTCGCCTGTTTGTGAGTGATGTTCCTGGCGATGGGATGGGGAGTAAGTACAAAATTCATACATGTCCCCATTATTTAAATATTTTAAATGTTTTGGATTGAGATTGTTTTGATAACTCTAGATTTATGTCCCCATTATTTAAATCTTTCAAATATTTTAAAGAGTTAATACCCAAAATAGTCCCTCGACTATGTCGTAATTACCAATTTGGTCCTCGACTATCATTCTTACCCAATTAAGTCCTCAACTATACAATTTTTACTCAATTTAGTCCTTTGTCAATTTGACTGTTTGTTGACTGTCAAAAGTGGAAATAAAGTTGTAATTTTACAAGTTTTCTCCTTCCTCCGCATTTAGCAGCGCTAAACCATGTAGCAATAAGCTCTGGTTGAGTTCTAAACCTGTCAGTATCGAAGTAGTGGTTGTGCATCGGATAGCCCATGAATTTGATTTTCAACGATTTTTTGCCGATCGAAATCTGATCGGAATGTATTGCTGCATGGTTTGGCGCTGCTAAATGGAGAGGAAGGAGAAATCTTGTAAAATTATAATTTTATCCCGACTTTTGACAGTCAACAAACAGTCAAATTAATACAAAGGACTAAATTGGGTAAGAATTGTATAGTTGAGGACTAAATTGGGTAAGAATTGTATAGTTGAGGACTTAATCGAGTAAAAGTTAAATAGTTGAGGACTTAATTGGGTAAGAATGGTAGTTGAGGACCAAATTGGTAATTATGGCATAGTCGAGGGACCATTTTAGGTATTAACTCTATTTTAAATGTTTTGGTTCGAGAATGTTTTGATAACTTTGGATTTTTCGATTTTGTCAGACTAGATTTTAAAATTCATAAACTCGTTTTTAAGGCTTATGAAAATGTAAATTGAATCAATATCAAATGCTCTGTTTGGCAAACCTAACTGAAAAGCTATAAGTTAGGAGCTGAAAGCTGAAAAGGAGTTGAAA